AATAATAATAATATTTTCCTCGAACCAACATCATACATTTTGGACTTCTGTAGCTACAATCATAAAGAAAAACTGTATCAAATTACCTTAGCCAGCACAAACAGGAAGCTTCAATGACTAATATGCCATAATAGTGCTACAGAATTAGGTCTAAAGGTCATCATAGTGTTCCAGTAGTAACAGGTTCGGCGCCTACACATGGCCTATTTCCTTTTCAAATAGGATATTAAGAACTTTAAACTTTTGAAGATGTAGTGTTGTTTTTGATGTGGGTTGATGTGGTAGTGTGGTTTTTAGGAGATAGCGATTAGAGATGTGATTTTATGTCTTTGTGTTGTGTTGAGTACAAATATTCTGGAAGATATTTAAGATAGTTCAGAATAGGGTAGACGACTAATTTTTATTTTTATTGTCCGTCTGGTAGATTATTTACAAACATTAGACACGTATTTTTATTTTTTTACCGAAACGAATAGTTTCGTAGATATATTGATTTGAAATGTTGCGTGACGTCACTTCTATGTACATTTTATACGTATTAATGACGTTTTAGCCCCCACTCTTAAACTTTGATTCGTTATATTATTATCTAAGTATCATTTTATTATACAACAAAATAAAAAATAAGTGTCTAATATTTTTTCATTACCTAACTGACGGACTAATTACATTTTTAATTTTCATACCCTGTCATCATCCCTATTGTAGTGTAGGATTAAGTTTAACACTCTATTAAAGAAGGACATATATTAGAAATACTGATAAGCTAAACTAAGCATTGCGGTGAAGCTAAGAATTTGTGATACCTTAAAGATATATCTTGTTATACGGTGGCTGGGCAACCGCCGCGCAACGTGTCGTGGGTTCGATTCCCGCACGGAACAACGCTTTGTTTCTGACTGTCATGTGTATGTGAACTTGTATGTTTGTAAAGGCACTCACGACACAGGAGAAAATCCTAATTTGGGACAATATTTTTTTTAAAAAAAAGAAGAATATCTTGTGATTAGCAAAAAAAAAAACTGTACGAAAATGCAATTCGGTATTACTCCTTCGGAAAACAAAATAATTGTCTTATTAGTAAATAAATAGCATTTACTATCAATAATAGAAGTTAACTAACATCGTAGTCAAGATACTATACGGTGCAAAGACCCGAACTAAAGAAATTTTATCTCCTTAAACTTTAACTTAAATCTGAGTAACACAACTTAGGTACATTGTTATCTTTCTAAGAGCCCTAAATATGCCGTTAGATCTGGACTAGGTCATTTACAACGGCTACTGACTCCTATCTCCACGACACGCCATAAATCTGATATTTGGGACATTCTGAGATAACCGGGACATGGCTCATAAAATGTTATACTTTACTGAACCAGCGTGTACTATCGGCAAATTTAACGGTTGACTGTCAACGCAGCCTTCTGCTAGTATAAATCAATCAATCACAAAGCGATTCGCATCAAGCTTCCTTATACGTACTGCTAAGGAGTGAAATTCTGTCGCGGAGGACCTAACGGGTAACCGGGGCTCCGGCTCGACGTGCAGGAGAAGGAACGGGGTGGTTTTTAGTCAGTAAGAGTCTGACACTCCCTCCCGCCTCACCCAGGCGGGAGCAGTCATTCGATGATTTTCCCCCCTTAAAAAAGGAGTGAAATTCTTTGCCAGTGTCTGTATTTCCTGAAGAGATTGTAATGACAGAAGAACGTCAAAATAATCAGTCAGATAGTGGCTACTGAGGCTCGAACAGACAGGAGTTTAACTGTTGGATAAGGCCTAACTGGCTATTGAAAAATCGAGAATTTTATTTACTGTTGGATAAGTACTAACTGATGGCTTAACTGACTATTGAAAAAATGGCCCTGTCATTATAACCTGGGTGTCGTCAAGACCCGAGTGAATAGGTTGCTTATGGAACGACGTGCTCCATCGTAGACCGCATCATCGCTTACCAACAGAGCGAGATAGTGGTCCAACAACGGCATCAAATATAAAAAAATTAATTCCTCTCTCCTATTAATTTTTTTAGCTCCTGTAAGGCGTAATTCGTAATTGTTTCTATTGTATTTCCTAAACATCGGTATGTGTACATTATGGATGCAATAAATACTTGAAAATAGGTAAACAGTTTTTAAGGGACAAAAATGTAATATTTTGTAAGTGGTTTGATTTTTTCGGAAGGAATAATGCAGCGATAGTAATAAAAAGAGTATTTTGTTTTATAAAAATCGGTACTCAATTGCTTTGCATGGGGTTGAAAAATATTCAGTATTGTTCCTAAATTATTATGATTTCGGCTTACTCACGTAGTAATTTGACGAGGAACTCGACTAGTTTCAAGCCATGCTAGAGGCTCATATTCCTAGCAGCATTTTGCAACCCGCAACGCGGCGACTGTCGGTACACCAGTAGCAGCGAGACAATTTATTATGTCGATAATTTATTTAGTATGTCTCACGAAAGTTACAATACAAGTATTGTTCCTGACAAAAGTAACACTCACACAGAAAAAAATATCCCCGCGAACTTTTCGACTTCATGGAATTTTTCTAGAAAGAATTTTTGAAGAACGGCTGTGTTATTCTGCAATTATTCACAACCTATCAGTTATAATTGACATTCAAAAATGTATTCCATTTATCAGCTTGTTCTATTCGAACATTGAATATCAATATTATTGACATCATGTCAAATCATAAATTTAATGACACTTATACAATTTAATATCACTTAAAATACGTTAACACTACACAACTATTTATATACACACCAACTACTAAACGTCATGTACATAACATATGGCTGCATATCAAAATATACAAACCACTTTATCATGATCCCGATTTGTACCATCTTTCCGCACGTTCAAAGGTCAGTTAATACTGGTATTGTACACCTTGATGTGTACGTGTCTTATCAAACAATACTCTTAGTTTAGCAATAGGTCAATAAAGGGCTGATAGTAACGCAGCAACTATGATAGTATTTATTTTTAGGCATAGTATATTTACTAGGGTCAACATAAGTGCTGATAGAACATTAATCGAAAAACTAGATTGTTACAGTTGATGTATTCACATCACGACGCTACTTTATTGACTGTTTATATTTTAACTAGCTTTCACCCGCGGCTTAGCTCGTGTCACAAAAGGATAAAAAGCCAATGTGACATATACCAATACACACAGCGCCATCTATACCAATACTTTTGTTTTCCCTCGGGAATATCAAATTTTTCCGGAATAAAAAGTACCCTATTATTTAATTCGGACTTCTAACTTTACGTCTGCAAAATTTCAAAGCAATCGGTTTAGTAGTTACGGCGTTAAAGTGGAACAAACAAACAAACAAACTCACTTTCCGATTTGTAATATTATAATATATATAGTAAGGATTCTCAATAGGCCTCTACTGGACTATGAATCTCCTCCCTCCTCAACTTTACTTATCATACTCTTTACTCCTCTAAGAGGGTTTACTATAGACTATACGCTTGCCTGGCATTAATGATCGCAGTGTAAAAGGTTCAGATTTATCACAGAGCGCTGTGGCCCGATTTCTCTTAAATGTGTAGTCTCTAATTCAGCACTCAAGTTTGCTTTAAAAAATCCTCATAACAACACGTTTCTATTGTTTTTTATTTATTTATTTATGTACACACATTCAACACAGAGGACAATACATAATAAAAAAAACAGAGTACATAGGCCCCACATATTCCAACTGGAATTTCTTCCTGTGGGCCTGTGGCAGGAAAAGAAATAACAACACTGAGACACATAGTGTGTTACACAAACAAGATAAAAATCAATTAATAAAAAAAAGAAAAAAGACCGAAGAAACCAATACAAATAACAATAATAAACAATAAAACAAATTAATATAATACAATTATAGTACATATATAAATAAATACAGAAAAACAAATCTATATTTCAAGAGGAAAGATAAGTTTTTTTTATGAGATCAGCCGGTAAACGAGCATACGGATCACCTGACGGTAAGCAATCGACGTCGTTCATGGACACCTAAAGAGGCGTTACAAGTGCGTTACTGGTCTTATGGGATTAAGGTTTTGAGAATTGCTGTGGTTTCAGGATTAGAGATATTATTTTTCTCGGGTCTTACGACATTCGCGACACGATGTAACTATGATAGGTTTCCTAGTATATTCGTCGATTGTACCCGCTGTACTAGTCACAAAACCTAATTGACGGTGCAACGACCCGAGTTTTATATATAAAATATGATGTATGAGACTGACCTGTTACTATTATGATGTCATCGTGCATACAAAATATCTGTTCTTAGCTTTACGATTTTCGAAAGTAAACATCCTTACTAATATTATAAATCGGAAAGTGAGTTTGTTTGTTTGTTTGTTCCACTTTCACGCCGTAACTACTAAACCGATTGCTTTGAATTTTTGCAGACGTAAAGTTAGAAGTCTGGATTAAATAATAGGGTACTTTTTATCCCGGAAAAATTTGATATTCTCGAGGAAAACGAAATTATTGGTATAGATGGCGCTGTGTGTATTGTTATATGTCACATAGGCTAGTAATAAATAATTGGAAGTTTGTAGGCCAATAAACGTTACGATTATCTGAAAGCTACGTTACCTATTTTAGTTTTGCAACAGATTCGTCCTAATTACTTAAAAAAGTTTGTATTCATCCATAATTCTAACCTGAAATTCTACTTGAAATAAAAACATCGTATCGAACACAAGAGAACGGAACACCTGCACTCAATTAGCATAATTTATAGCCATATCCTCACCTAACCATTTAACAGTTACATAACTGTTTAGAACTCAACTTCCTGCCGCCTTATACGATAAACCGACGCACACGCCGAATTCTAATTCCAAATATCCTTTCCAGATGATCCGATTGGTGGTGCCCGCGCTGCAATTGGCGGATACGTCCCCGTAATGTCACGAGCTTCGCTGTGATTGGCGGGGCGCGTGATTAACGCGTTCTGATTGGTGGAAAATGTCCGGATTGCAGGCGAGGACTGAGGAGCCAATCAATGGTGTTGACGTGAGGGAGCAAGGCAGCGCTTTGAGGTCAGTTTTTACTTTCGTTTTGTTTAATAAGGATTTGAATTAACGGTCGCTAGCGGTTCTAATGCCAATCCCATTGGGTTTTGTATGAAACCGTGTTACTTACATGAACTTATCTGAATAGAACTTCCTAAACTTTAAACCTTAATTAATGACGTCTGTGGTCAATGCGTTTTCTGCATTTGACACCACACAGTCTTCATTTGAAAGCAAAAGTCACCTAAAGCATTCTGGTAACGTTATTTTTACTTTATTCAAGGGTCAGATTAAGCTAAACTTTATCAGAGTCGGTTCAGCCGTTTATGCTTACTAGCACAACAAACAAAAATCAATTTCATATTTATTATATGGGTACGTTCAGAAGATTCGTTTATGCGGTCTTTGAGAACCAAACGTTGATTGAAAATTTCTAGATGCGTATGCGCACATCACTGGTAGAACAACGGTATAAATGTGTTTTCCTGACCGCAATATTTTGTAGGAAACATTTAATTTCCTTTTGTCTAGATTAGATAATTCCATTCAATATTATACGCAGTTTTAGACCCTATCTAATTAGCATAGATATTGGTTTTGCGTGGCATATTATCTGCAATCTAACGCCGTATAGGAGTAGTCAGCAGAGCGAGAAATTGCCAGTTGCCGACACGAATATATTATTGTGGTTTCTGTACGTTTCTGTGTGTACAGTCAGCTGATAAAAAAACAAAGAAGAGCAAGAGACAAACCATTACCGCAATTAAATGTTTTTTTTTTTAAATGTCGTCAATATTTCTTATCATTTTCTTAACTCATTTTTTTATGGTATAAGCCGATAAACGAGCAGGCGGATCACCTGATGGTAAGCAATCGACGCCGCCCATGGACACCTGGAACACCGAGGCTTTTCAACTGCGTTACCGGCCTTTTGGGAATAGGGAATTTGAGGATTGTGGAGGATTCGGGAATTGGGGAGACTGATTCGGGAATTGGGGGGTGGTGTAATTGGGCCTCCGGTAACCTCACTCATACGACGAGTGAGGTTACCGGAGGCCCAATCACACATCTCTCCAATCCCCGAAGCCCCAATAATCCTCAAATTCCTAATCGCCAAATGGCTGGTAACGCACTTGTTGTAACACCTCTGGTGTTTTGGGTGTCCATTGGCGGCGCCGACTGCTTACCAAACCGTTTACCGGCTTATTCCGTAAAAAAAATCTTTCATGTTCAACTGCTATGTTTGTTAACTGTACTTTTGGTAGTTAGATAACCGTTGCAGGTAGCGTGCGTGTGCGTTTATTTTTATTTCTTTTACGATTTTCTTTGATTTAGTTAACATTTTATTGCTTTACGTGTAGTTTTCGGTTTAGGTAAGCGTTACCACTGGACGAAAATAATTTATTTCGTGATTTACTTGTATGTATTTCAATAGGGTAGACGACTAATTTTTATTTTAATGTCCGTCTGGTAGATTATTTAAAAACATTAGACACGTATTTTTTCTTTTCTCACAGAAACGAATAGTTTCGAAGATATATTGATTTGAAATGTCGCGTGACGTCACTTCTCAGTACATTTTATACTAAGAAATGACGTTTTAACCCCCACTCCTAAACTTTGATTCGTTTTATCTAAGTATTGTTTTATTATACGACAAAAAAAAATACGTGTCTAATATTTTTTCATTACCTAACTTACGGACTAATTATACTTTTAATTTTCATACCCTGTCATCATCCCCATTGACACAGAACTTTTTAGTTTTTAAGTGTTTTTTTTTGTAAGAATACTCAAGTTTTCTACTATCTATCTAGCTGTGTATTCTTACGGTAATCGACTCAACAAATTGGCTTATAATTTAGTATTAATTTATTTATCAAGTAGGTACTTACTATAAAACAAATAAAATACTGGTTTCTATAAAAGGACAAAGGCTATTTATTATGCATGTATTTCTATTATTTAAACTAATGTAATTGAAAACCATTGTATAAATAGTTCAATAGCTATTCAAAATTGATCATAGACCAGTGAACATACATGTCATTGTTATATTCCTATACATAATAAATAATAGGTTTACAATGTAACTTCGATGGTTCAGTGGTTGCAAGGACGTCTGGAGAACTCTGAGTACTGTATTGCTTATAGGATAATTATGAACTGTTAAACACTTAGTATAAGGATAATAAATTAATCTCATCAGCCATAATCTTATACTAAGTTTGGGGCCATGCTTTAGCATGATGAGGCCGGCTCGACCGTAATGATACCACGGCCTCACAGAAAACCGACGTGAAACAACGCTTGCGCTGTGTTTCATCGTGTGAATAAGGCCAATTACCCCGTACCTTCCCCAATTCCTAAATCTTCAACAATACTCAAGTGCGTTACCGGCCTTTTGGGGATTAGGAGTTTGAGGATCGTTGGGGATTCAGGAATTGGGGAGATTGAGGAAAGGTATTGTGCCTATAGACTACGAAATTGCTTTGAAAAATGTAAACCAAGTTTAAGTTATTTATGCCATTCCAAAGGTAATTTCTCAGCGAGTAACATCGGCTACTTCTTAATCTAATATTCTAACAGGATCAGGAATCTTCTAAACACCATACAGGCGAAATTTACAGGCCATTATAAAATAAGATCAGTGACGATTTCCACGTAAAATTGTATCACGATCTTTTCTTGAAAACACTTGGTTATCAGAAGATAAATTCTAATATGAATCATGTATATTTTCGTTTATGACAACTTTTACAAAAACATGTATACCTACATACATTAGGACATAATGAAATGGCTTCTGAAAAACGTTGTTGATGGTGAATCAAACGGATTTCCTGAAAACGTGTAAACGGATGAATAATGGACCAAAAATAAAGAGATGAATAGAGAGATTTATAAGTGTGGGAGAGCCATGCTTCGGCACGAATGGGCCGGCTCGACCGGAGTAATACCACGGCCTCACAGAAAACCGACTTGAAGCAACGCTTGCGTTGTGTTTCGTCGTGTGAGTGAGGTTACCTGAGGCCTAATCTCCTCAATCTCTGAATCCCCAATAATCCTCAAATACCTAATCCCCCTAAAGGCCGGTAATGCACTTGTAACACCTCTGGTACTTCGGGTATCCACGGGCGGCGCCGATTGCTCACCATCAGGTGATCCGTCTACTAGTTTACCAGCTTATTTATAACAGATGGATAGGGATCGATACTCTCAATCGTCGCCGCCGTGCAAACTACAGCGAACCACTCTAGAGTATGCAAAGAAGGTCTATGGGCGTCCTGGCTGACTGGATTATGACCCAGCAGAAGTGAGTCACAGGTTTTTTTTATGGGACAAGCTCGCCACAACCTCCCAAAACCGCTGCAACTCCTGTAAGCCAGGATCTACAGTAGATACAACCATGAAAATACCGGAACATTGAAGTCCGGCGCGTCCCAGGGACATGAGTAACTGTCTTGGTTCCCGCAACGAAGTGAATCAGAAGATATTATAAGAGGAGAAGAAAAATACGATAGTTTCCACTTCCCTCGGTGAATTACTGCAGGAGACAGAATGAATTAAGCCTAAAGGCATAAAAAAAGAGTCTGTACAACTGGGTGAAGCCCAGTCGCCAAGCACCATGGAAATTTGACTAAAAACCACTACTACTTGAGTCACAGGTTGTTGATATCGTACTTTACACCTTTAAAAATAAAAAGGCCTAACATTACGTAACGTAACACATACATAGTCCACATAACCACATTAAACGGTACCCCAAGGTCGTGGTTTCCACAGCAATATTTACGTGGGTAACTTCATGTGGGTGCCTGCCACCCACTTAATGATCTAATATGGTTAAGATTAACAGTTGGCCCGTTACTTTCGTCAGTGTCATTGATTGACTTATGTGACGCCTTTTGTCGGTTCAAGGGGTAGGCAGAGGTGTGCGGGTAATATGGAGTTTGCTACTGTCGCTTTTTGTCGGTTACCGGTATCTGGGTACATTTTCAATGTTATGAAAGACATAGCATAGCCATCAAGACGTGCTCCATCGTAGACCTCATCATCGCTTACCACCAGGCGAGATAGTGGTCCAACGTCGTTCCATCAACTATCTATATACATATATATATGTATAAAAAATATTGTATATAAAATTGACTGCCTCGTTGGCCGAGTGGTCGCAAATGCGACTGCCGGGCAAGGGTTCTCGGGTTGGATTTCTGGGTCGGGCAAAGTATTACTGGGGTTTTTCAATAAATTTCAGTAGTAGCACGGAGTCTAAAATTGTCCCCGATATATGGCAATAAGCTCACTCCCTATTATATGGGACTCATAACATAAATAGTGAAAAGTGGGTGCTACATTGTACAGAGGCATCAAGTGCTGATGTGCACCTCTGCCTACTCCTTCGGGGATAAAAGGCAACGCACATTAGCATACATACATAGTTACATTTGGGTCATACATTTATATACAACATTTTAAAGTATCCAAGGCAGTTCCTCATTGTGATTACAGTAATTAAGATAACTACATGTACTTAAGTTATTATATACAAACATTACGTACTTATAAAACTATTAGAGTGAAGCAATGTAACAAGTTTATAGTTTTTGTGTAATGTAATCTTTACTCCATTAGTGTTTGTGTAAAGATGTTATTGTTAAACAAGATGTCGTTATGTTTTATGTGAATGAAATCGACTATCTGTCTGTTAGAAATAGGAATAAAGAATTTATGAATTGTGATAAAAAAATAATTAAGTACTTTATTTTGAGACTTCATACTTGATGATGCTATTGAGTTAATTGATATCGAATGCCTCGTTGGCCGAGTGGTCGTAAGTGCGACTGCCGGGCAAGGGGTCTCGGGTTCGATTCCCGGGTCGGGCAAAGTATTACTGGGTTTTTAAAAAAAAATCTCAGTAGTAGCACTGAGTCTGGAATTGTGCTCGGTATATGGCAATAGGCTCGCCCCCTATTACATGCGACTTATAACATAATAGTAAAAGGTGGGTGTTACATTGTACAGTG